GGCCCCATGGCAGATACAATTTCACCTTGGCCAACCCAAAATAGATCGACAGGGGCCCAAAATTGTCGTGAATGATGTCAGGGTGTCTGATGGGATATTCCTCTGTTTTGTTTATGAAGGCGCAGAGACTGGTAAAATCATAATAGTGAATTTGTTCACCCAGGTTAGTTTTGTAATAGAGACAGTGGCATTAGTTCTCCCCGCAAAGAGAGAGTCCCTAGCCACCAGAGGAGAAGGCCCAAAGGATTCTGCTTAAGAAATCTGTGAGTTCCCTATCCGATTCTAAAAAAGTCCTCCCAAATGGCCCTGATGGTAAACCCCACTCTCATAAGATAATCAGCTTTGTATTGTGTCTGATAATTCAAAAAGCCATAGGTTGCCCTTGTCAATGGGTTCCACTTGTTTTGGTTGTAGTAGGTGACAGTCATGGAAAAAGCAGCCATTAAATTCAACTGTGGGTTTCCCATCAATGATGGCATAGCCATCTACAAAATAGCCCCCCCACATGAAATTCTCCACCCTGTAAGGCATGCCAAATTTGAATATTTTCTTTCTTGGAGATGTACATCAGCCACTGTATAGATAGGGTTGAAAAATCTCTTTGTCTGTCTGTGACAGTTGTCTGGGGAAGTAGTGCTATGGTCTGTTCTTTCAAAAACATAAATCTGTACATGGCCATATAGACAGTAGCCAGTGTGATATATTGAAAAGGTTCTATGCAGAGATTTACCCATTTGAGTTTACCTTCCTTTTTTGCCATCTCTACCGGTCATGTCATTTTCATAATTTCATTCCTGTAGAGACTACAGGCTTCCTTCAAAATTTTTTACATCTGACTAGCAATAATAGGCCAGTTCCTTTTGCACATCAGAAGGTCTTATCACAGTTGTCCTGATACCATTCTAAAAATTGCTCTCTCTCTCACCAGGTATCATATTTTGAACCCCATATTACTCTGCTTCCGGGAGAGGTGCCACATAATTCTGGTTTTCCTGCATGTTAAAAAAAAAAGTGGGAAATGCCCTTTGCATTCTTCAAATCCCATTGCCTGGGGCAGCTTGCTAAGTTTCATGGGTAAAAAGTTTAAAGAATCTATGAAACATACACCTAGGCTGTTCACTTCTATATACATGCGTTTACCACCCTGGGTGATGAGATTCACATCCATTTTTTCCTTTAATAACCGGCTAACAATGAAGTAGCCATCATAGCCTTTGGCACTATGAGCTATGAAGATGTAGTTCTGGTACTTTTTGTCAATAAAGATCCGTACCTCAAGCTGCAGACAAGCAAAATTCGTGACATGGGTGACACTGTGTGTGTTAAGGAGCAGCAGGGCAAAAGCTGCAGACCTGCTAGCCCCTGCTGAGGCCACAAAGGCTGCTAGCTTTCAAGAAGATAGGTGCAGGGGCTTTTGGGTTCTGGGGTCCTGCACCTCTAGCTGCTGACAGGCAAAACTTGTGTCATGGGTGCTTGTGCAACTGTCTTGGGGCATGGGGCGGGTGGGGAGAAATTCCTGTAGGCCTGGTTGCTAGGCCCTGCTGCAGTCACAAAGCCTGCCAGCTGTTAAGGAGATAGATGCAGCGGGGGTTCTGGAGCCCTGTACCCCTATCCTGACAGGCAAAACTTGTGACATGGGTGCTTGTGCAACTGACTGGCTCTGTCTTGGGGCAGAAGCAGTTCCGGGCTCTGTATTGATTCTTTCTTCTCCTTAGTCTGTGGTTTTATAGGTGTTAATCCTTGCTCATTAACTTATTATCCTTGCTAGCTGCCACGTATTGAGTTGGTCCCCAAGTGAATCATAATTGATTAGTAACACAGTAGTTTAGCAGCCAAGCCTGCAGTAGTTCCTGCCCCCCTTCCCTCCACCGGTACAAGACAGGCACAGTTGCATGAGTTTTGCCTGTCAGCAGCCAGAGGTTCAGAGCCCCAGAAACCAGAAGACCCTGCACCTATCTCCTTGACAGCTGGCAGACTGTGGCCTCAGCAGGGGCTAGCAGGCCTGCAGCTTTCACTCTGCTGCGCCTTAACACATACAGTGTTACCCATGTCACGAGTTTTGCTTGTCCACAGATTGAGGTACAGTTTCCCCTGACCCCCTGCACCTATCTCCTTGAAACTTGGCAGGCTTTATGGCCTCTTCAGGGGCTACCATACCCGCAGTCTTCACCCCCCCCCCCCCCCCCATGCCTTAACACACACACACACACACACACACACACACACACAGTGTCACCTAGGTCATGAGTTTTGCTTGTCAATAGTTTGAGGTGCAGTTTCCCAGAAACCCCTACACCTACCTCCTTGAAACTTGGCAAGCTTTATGGCCTCAACAAGAGCTACCATCCCTGCAGTTTTCACCACACTATGGCCTCACACACACACACGCACGACATGAGTTTTGCTTTTAGGACTTTGAGGTGCAGTTTCCCAGGAACCCCTATATCTATCACCTTGACACTTGGCAGATGATATGCTCTCAGCAGAAGCTACCATACCTGCAAGGTTTCATCTGAATCAGCCTATAGACAACAAAAGTATAGATATTTCATTGATTCCCCATTACACTCTATGGTCGAATCTCCGAATTGGCTTCGAATCTCGAAGCGATTTGGTCAAATTGAATTGGAAAAAAATGATTCAGATATCTGAATTGAATCTCTGGCATCTGAATCAGCCAAGTCTGAACCCAAATCAAATAGTTCCCTATTTGCACAGGCCCACTAGATAAGCACAGTTTCCTCAGTCTTTCCTCATAAGTCATGTCCCCAGCCCCCTCACTATTTTTGTTGCCTTCCACTGGACACTCTCCAATTTGTCCACATTCTCTCTGTAGCGAGGGCCCCATAACTGAACACAGTAGTCCAACTTGTCTAGATCACTCTGAATCCTAGCCCTACCCCCCAGCATATCTACTACTCCCACTGGCTTGTTGTCATCTGCAAACTTGCCGAGGGTACGCTCTATGCCAACTTCCAGGTTGTTGATGAAGACATTGAACAAACCAGCCCCAGGACCCACCCCTGGGGCACTCACAGATTCACAGAAGTTTAGGGCTGGAAGGGAACTTGCGAGATTATTGGGCCCAGCTCCCCTGCTCTAGGCAGGAAAGACTGCTGGGGTCAAATAACGCCAGCAAGGTGTGAATCTGGTCTCCTTTTGAAGCTCTCCAGGGTAGGTGCACTGGGAGTCTATTCCAAAGTCTGGTCACACAAACCGTAAAGAAGTTTTTCCTTATATCCAGTCTGAAACCTTCTAGGAGCTTATGACCATTGTTCTTGGTTTTCCCCTGGGACACTTTGGCGAATACTTGTTTGCTAGCCCCTGATCCTCTCCCCGATATATTTGTAAGCTGCCACCAAATCCCCCTGAAGCCTTCTCTTTTCTAGATTGAACAGTCTTGTATCTGTCAGCCTTTCCTGGTCTGGCTTGCTCTTCAGGCCTCTTATGTGAGTGGCACTTCTCTGGAAAAGAGAACTTACATTGGCATACTGAAGTTCCACAGTTGAGGCCAATGTAACTTCTGTTTTGGCATGCATGCGAGGTAGCAGCCTCCTGAATGGAGGAAGCTCTCAGAAAGAAAATGACACCAAAAGACCCAGAGAATTTGTTTGCAGTTGTTTATTATTTGGGGTTTTCTTCTGTTGGGGTGTTATTTGGTATTTGTGGGTATTTCATTGTTGGGATATTCTATAGCTATGTTTGATAAGGTTTACTTATTTTCTTTTCCCCCCATTTAATAATGTTTGTATCCCAATAGCTTGTAAGTGGGGACGTTTTTCTTTTAGGACCCCCAGTAAAGGTGAACATTTCCCAGGTTTTGAGCCAATCCCCCCCCATTTGATCCTGGCTTTTGTTTGGCCACCAGGGCCTAACAGAAAGGTTACACTATGGAAAGTAAAACAGAGGGAGAATTTCATCCATCCCAGAGCTGCGCCTGGGAACTTCCTATCTTTCAGATAAAAATTTGATACCTCCAAATCGACAGGCTGCTTAAACAAATGCATGAGACTTGAGCCCCCAGCCATGATTTCATCTGTGATAAAAAAAAATAACACACACACAGCTGTACTACTCACATGCTGTATCTTCTTTCAAACAACCTATATATAGCAAGAGCTATTTTTATACTTTGTTCACTTAGCAAAATGAATAGGGAAAGCTCAGAGCAACTCCTTTAACACTTAAGAGAAATGCATCTGAAATAGCCATATCTATATGGTGGATATAAAATTTGAACAGCCTTATTGTATGGAAGTTCAATAACAGAGACCAGTTATTTGATCCACAGATACACATTCTTCTAATTCTTCAATAGCCTTTCTGTGATAGGGTGACCAGTCCTACCAGAATCAGAATGTCAGTCATTGGTCCTGAGGCATCTCTAGGTTTGTGCATTGCAAGGTGCAACTGTGTTGTAATGCCTAATATCATTTTGGTTACATGTGAGAGGGGAAGGGACAAAGAAGAAGTACAGCTGTATACATCTGTGTTCAGGGGAGATCCGAAGGGGGGGGGGGGGAGGGGGGGGGCTGGAGAATTGGTGCAGCCACAGCCCACTTCCACAGCATACCTCATGTGCCAGCAGCAGGTCCAGTTTCCTGCAGCCTGGACACTGGACTCCCCTTGGGAGGGGCACCAAGCAGGAAGCAGATGAGGAAGTGAGGATCCAACTGCTGCTGTCCCAAGACATGAGCTGGGGGGAAGCCTCAGTTCTACTTTTGCCAGGGGCTGTGAGGAGCAGCTGCCAAAGGCAACAGGCTTGGCAAAAATGGGTGGGTCTCTGCTCTCTTCCTCTCCACTGCATCTTCCCTGATAGCCCAGGGGCTTCAGCTACAAGGAGCAGCTGTGCTGGACCAGGGACTGTGTCAGTGGGTGGTCCCCCTTTCCAGTTCCTGCTCCTGGCCCATGGGGAACACCCCAGGAAGACTGGGTTGGGAGCAGAAGTGCCTGGGAGTGGGGGACCCACCTACCACCACTGTTCCAAGCTGAGCCCAGCATCTCTCATTGTCACTCACAGAAGCCCCAACTGGAGCAGGGCAGGAAAAACTCTGGGACTTCCCTCATCACCAGTCCGCTGGGGGCAGCACCTGCAGGAGGGTCCCCCATTCTGGTATGTAACAAGGAACCCTATCCCTGTTACCAGAAAGCAGGCCAGTCCCTTTAAGACCATAACTTTCTAGGCACAGCCAGCATAGAAAAATAAATGTTGGGATTCTCAGCCACCATGGGCTTCCCCCCCCCACCATCTTTCTCTGGCTAGGCCTACCAGCCTAAACCCACCAGGTAGGGTTTGACTCTGAGGCTCTAGCTCCTTCATACTCTCTGGGCCTGTGGCCCTCCTTTTGTGCTCACTATGGCACCAGGCCTTCTGGCTCCCTTTCACCCTGCAGCCCTGGGTGCCAAGTTGTTGGGTCTTCTGCCTCCTCAGGCTCAGCCCCTGTCTTATAGCTCAGGCTACTAGCCAAGATCCACCCCCTGGGACCTGGCTTCTAAGTCCTGCAGCCAGCTCTGAGCCACCAGCCTTATACAGCTGCACCCACTGGTGCACTGGGTCCTTTGGCCTTTTATGACTGCACCCCAAGGGGCTAATGAGGTTTCCTCCTCCCCTACAGTCTCAGCCACAAACCACCAGTCTACCAGTCAAACACCAACATAAATCCATGGGCTATAACCAAAAAATAAAATAAAATTAAGGGAGGCAGTATGCCAGCTCACGCTTTTCCATGACTCTGTGCTTCTGCTTCCTATCAGCTGCTGTGCTCCTTTTTTTTTTTTTTTTTTTTTTTTTTTTTTTTTTAAATACAATCATGCCTTCCAGTCCTTTCTTGGAAATGTTTATTTTTACACTAGCAACTAAAATTATTTCTCTTGAATTGTAAATATTGCCGCTGTTGTAATTTCCCGGTTTAGTTTAAATTTCAGTACGATCCTTTAACCCCTACTCTGCCAGCAGGCTGTGCCCAGAAAGTTATGGTCTTAAAAGGACTGGCCTGCTTTCTGGTAACAGGGATAGGATTCCCTGTTACATGGCACCTAGATTCATATCCCACTGGAGAGCGGGGATGGCCGGAGTGGTGCACATCCTGGAGGGGTGGGAATGCATAATGCTGGGGGGAAGGAGTCATACCTGCTTTGGGAACTCAAAAAAGTCCTCAGCAACTACATCACATCTCCTGCAGTCCACTTTTCAAATTCCTAGATCTGTCCATGCCTGTGTTGCAGCTAGTTGAATGGCATGAGTGTCTCTGGAGAGAGCTCACAGGAGTGGAAGCAACTTTTGGGCTATAGAATCATAGAACTGAAGGACCAGAAGGGACCTGCAAGATTTTTTCATAGATTTCATAGACATTCGGGCTGGAAGGGACCCCGGAAGATCAACAAGTCCAGCCCCCTGCCCAGGGGCAGGAAGTCAGCAGGGATCATAGGATCCCAGCAAGATAAACATCCAAATGTGTCTTGAAGGCATTCAAATGGGGGCTTGAACCACCTCTGGTGGCAGTCTATTCCAAACCCTGGGGGCTCAGACAGTAAAAAAGTTTTTCCTTATGTCCAGCCTGAAATGGTGACAGAGGAGTTTGTGACCATTCGATCTCATCATCCCTTGGGGCACTCTGGTGAACAGACGTTCCCCCAGATCCTGGTGAACACCCCTAATAAACTTATAGGTGGCCACCAGGTGCCTCCGAGGCTGCACTTTTCCAGGCTGAAGAGTCCCATGGCTCTCAGCCTCTCATTATAAGGTCTGTTATCCTGACCTCTGATCATGTGCGTGGCTCTCCTCTGCACTCTCTCAAGCTTCTCCACATCCTTTTTGAATTGTGAAGCCCAAAACTGGATACAGTACTCTAGCTGCGGCCTCACCAGGGCCAAGTACAACAGGAAAATGACGTCCCAGGATTTGCTTGAGAAGCATCTATGGATGCAAGCCAGTGTTTTGCTCACTTTACTAGCCGCAGCATCACATTGAAGGCTCATGTTCATCTTGTGGTCAACGTGACCCCCAAGTCCCTTTCATCTGTAGTGCTAACAAGCGTAGCACTGCTGAGCCTATAACGATACTGCTGGTTTTTCCTCCCAAGGTGGAGAACCTTGCATTTTTCAGTGTTAAACAACATCAGGTTCTCATCCACCCATTTCATGAGCCTGTCGAGATCTGCCTGGATCACCCTCCTGTCCTCAGGTGTGGATGCTTTACCCCAGAGTTTGGTGTCGTCAGCGAACTTGGCCAGCCCGCTTCTGACACCAATGTCTACATCATTGATGAAGATATTAAAAAGTAAAGGCCCTAGGACAGAGCCTTGAGGGACCACAGGTCACAGGGCACCACGATGATTTACTGATTGAAGATCATCAAGTCCAGTCCCCTGCCATGAGCAGGAAGTTATTAGGCTCAAATGAGCTCAACAAGGTGCTTATTCAGCCTCATCTTGAACACCTCCAAGGTTGGTGACTACACTACCTCTGCTGGGAGCGTGTTCCAGATTCTAGTAACCCTTACGGAAAAAAAAGTTTTTTCTTATGTCCAGCCTAAATTACCCCTCTATTAGCTTGTGCCCATTGGTCCTCATCCTCCCTTGAGGTGCCTTCCTGAAGAGTTCCTCTCCTAGATCTTGATACTCATCCCTAATGTACTTGTAGGCAGCTATTAAGTCATCTCTCAGTCTACTCTTACTCAGACTGAATAGGCCCAGTTCCTGGAGTCTGTCCTCATAGGGCCTATTAGCTTCCAGGTCCCTAATCATACAGATGGCCCTTTGTACCCTCTTGAGCTTATCCACATCCTTCCTGAAGTGTGGTGCCCAGAACAAAATTAGAGGACATCATCATAGGGACACTGCCTCTCAGTTAAGCAGCACCCACTTACATACACAGTGGGTGCACCTACAGGTACATTTGCTGTGGCACCAGTTTATTCACAAGTAAATTATTCATGAGAAATGCTGCAGGGCAGGCGGCCACATGTGCAGGGAAGTGGGAGCAGATTTGCTGCCAATATGCTCCTACTTCCCAGGGCCCTGCAATGGACCTCCACTGCCACCAGGGGGAGCTCCGGACTCCAGCCGCTCTTGCCAGCAGCTGGCAGCCCTCTTCAAAAGCCAGTTGCACTTGCTGTTCTCTGGCAAGCCATTTCCCTGGGGAGAAGCAGTGTGCACAATGCAGGGACAGCATATGATAGGACTGTCCTAGCTGCCTCTGCTTCCCCACTCCATGGCTGCTCCTGCCCATGGCAGCGATGACCAATGTCCCATGCTCCTGCTGGCCACTGTGCTGTCCCTTATGGCCTGCCACACTGACTGCCAGCTGGCCCATGGCCATCTCACCCTTCCTGGCTCCCTCACATGCAGCAACTGCCTGCTCACCCTCTGCATTCTGTCCCAGGGCCACAGTCGTGCACCTGCCACCTCAGCCCCTTCCACCTGGCAGGGACACCAACAACGAGCCCCATAATGCCACTGTTGGGCCTGCCATCACCTTTTTGGGGCTCCAGCCCTGCCACCTCTGAGCCTGCCATCCAGCCAGGACTGGTGGTGGCACATCGTCCAGCACACCTGGGATGATGAGCAATGGCTGGAGGCCTTCAGGATGACCCAGGCCACCTTCTGGGATCTCCTAGAGCAGCTCTGGCTATATGTGGAGTGGCAGAACACTGCCATGCAGCTGCCCCTCCCTGGGGACACTTGGCTGGCCCTTGCCCTGCTCAAGCTGGCCACACCCACCAGCCTGTGGTACATCAGCCACCTCTTTGGAGTGGGCAAGGCCACCACCATGGAGGCCATCTGGGAGGTGTACAGCTTCCTCCAGGATGGGCTCCTTCCCCTGCACACCGTGCTCTGTATGCACAACTCCCTGGTGGCAGTGGTGGGGTTTTGTGCCCTGGGATTCCCCCAGTGCATTGGGACCCTGGTTTGGACTTGTGGTGGGCCAGTAGGGGGTGCTCCTGTGCTGAGCCACCCACCTCACTGCACCTGACCATCTTCCAGGTTCCGAGTGCCTCCCTGGGGGTGCCTCACATCCCCCCTTCGTGGAGCCACCCCACTAGCCTAGGGGTAGAGCTGCCACCACCCCAGGATGGGCTTGATTCTGGCTCTGCACACCCTGGGAAACACAGGCCTAGTAGCCCTTGAGGGTACTTGACTCACTTCAAGAACTTGGGATGCTTCCCTCAGTCGGAAGCACAAGTAGTGGTCTCCCTTAGTCAGCCAAACCAAGGGGACCCCAAAGCATAATCTAGACCCAGTCCCAATAAGTCTCCCATGCTAGGTACAAAGGGGAACTTTATTGGTTACAAGGATTGGGGTTGGAATAGGGTACAGAGTTGAGTAATATCAGAGAAATCCCATAAAGCAAACAGGGTGTCTAGAGTAGCCTTTGATCACGCATCTGAGTTACTGTAAGCTATATATCTAGTTACATCTCAGGTAGCTTACTCACAAGTATCATCCAGAGGCAGATGGAGATTCCCTCTGGAGGCAGGCAGTTCCTTGATCATGAGTTTTGAGAGAGAGAGAGCAAGTTTCAGATGGTCCAGCTCTTCTCTTTCTCTCAAGTTTCCTTCATGGCTGTCAGCCAACCAATTTGAAATGCATCACTGGTTGCTGGGCAGACTGGCAGTCTCTAGCCCACCAGGGACCCCAAGCCCCTCACCCAGGTATGTGATGCCAGTCACGTAGGCAGAGGGAGCAGGTTTCCCTCCTCTCTCAGATATGTATCCAGCTCAGCTCAGGTTACCTAAAAAGATAGGGTAAGGTGTGTACCCTCTGCAGGGCCCATCCTAACCAAAATGTCACAGAGCAGAGTTTTTTGGAAGAAACAGAGGTGGCCTTCTGCCATAGGACCCACATCCCCAACATCTGCCCATCCCACAGAGACTGCCTCTACTACAGCTGGAGGGGTTTTCAGTCCATGGTGCTCTAGGCCATTGTGGACCACTGAGGTGCCTTCATGTGCATGAGTGCTGGCTGCCCATGATACCTGCGTCTTCCAAAACTCTGGTCTGCTGGGCCTGGTGGAGAGTGATTGCTTCATCCTGGGGGTGTAGGACCTGAAGCTGAGTACTGTAGTGGTCCTGTCCCTCCTCATCAGGGACTCCACCTACCTGCTCCAGCCCTGGCTCATGTGGCCCTACACTGGCCACCTGGATCCCTGCCAGGCCTACTTTAACTGCTACCTTGGCTGGAGCCAATTGCTGGTGGAGTGTGCCTTTGGCCTCCTCAAGGGATGCTGGTGCAGCGTTACCACTAGCCTTGAGTTCACCAAGGACAACCTCCCCCAGGTCATCATCACAGCCTGTGTGATGCATAACATCTGTGAGGCCCAAGGGGAGTTCTTCTGTGAGGCCTGGATGGAAGAGGCACCTTGCACAAAGGATCCCTGCCAGTGGGAGCACCACCTGTGGTGGCAGAGGCAGCCCCCCTGCCAAGGGCCCAGGAAAGCCACCCCCCCGCAGTGGGGACCCCAGGCACCAGGTGGAGGAGGCACTGGCTGACCATTTCTACCAGCACTCCCTGCTCTAGCCCACCTGCACTGCATTTGATCCACCCATGCCCACCCATCCACAGCACCATGGTCACTGCATACATCTCAGAAGAACAAGTTTTTACCCTCACATCAACCAGAAATCCCCTCCTCACTCCTTCCCCAACAAACAGCCCCTCCATCACCCACCCCACCCACCAACAATAAAAAAAACCCTTCTTCCCCATGAAAACTATGTACAATGTCCTTTGTGTGCCACCCCAGAGTGGAAGCCATGAGGTGAGGGCACCTAGGG